AACGAATCATTCTCTGTGAACTAATCTTTCGCCGTGAACGAATCATTCTCTGTGAACTAATCTTTCGCCGTGAACTAATCTTTTGCTGTGAACGAATCATTCTCTGTGAACTAATCTTTCGCCTCGTTCTCGCAGATTCGTTTCATTTGTCATGTGAAAGAGCTCGGGTAGTTTTTGCTCTCATTCATCTTCACATTGTGGTGTGTTTTTATTTCTTAGCTTTTCACATGGTTTTAATTACTTATGGCATTTTGTGTACTTTTTTAGACTTTGTCAGCGGGAGCAAAAAATGTTGCCTTATTTAGTGTCGGAGAACCACAGCCTTCTTTACAACGCCCACAATAGGGCTAAAGCGCCACCTGCTGTAAAACGAATGATTAGTTCAAGATTCGTTCACGACTCGATCATTTTACTGTTCGAGAGTCAAAGATTCGAATCAATAAAACGAGTCGGTCTTCCCATCACTAGTATGGAGGAATTTTAATGGGGATATTAGACAATACACCTGGAGTCACGCTCATGGTAATCACAAATCTGGTGTCATCTGGAGATGCTGTGCTCTGTTCAGGATGTTTTTTAAATCCATTTAAATTTAAACTGGTTAATTGTGTTACATAACGTAACATTACAACTGCAACCAAGGCAACAAATTAAAGTTAGAAGAGATTAGATTCCTTCAAACTTCAATGTGTAATCTGGCACATCATTCGTCAGATAATTGTCCTTCCGAGACAAACTCTTCGGACTAAGAAGACTCGCTGCATACAGCGGAACTGTATTAGGGACATCCCTCACATACGCGAAGACCTGAGAAGTTTGGAACTTTGCACTGTATCAAGTGCATGAGCCCCCATAGCACAGCATTGAAGTTTTTTCTTCCTCAAAATCTAATCATGCTAGTTTTTCCCTTCCATTTATGATCAAAACACTGTACATGTTTCCTTCTCAGACACAGTTGTCACTTCTCTGTCACAATCTGTGCCAACTGTTGTGCCAAACAACATCAAAATGCTTTGTGAAATTGTAACAGTTTTGGTCATGATTTTGGTTGCATACATTTAGAAAGTTGGATTTCTACTTTTCACCCAGTTATTAGAATACAGTTCAGATTGTTCCTGTTCGTGGTGGAGTCAGAGGAGGTCTTCCTGGGGCCTGAATATTATGTGTAACAAAATGTGGAAATGTTTACTAAGAACAAGGAGTCATGCTAAGACTTCACAAAAATAAGGTTACTGGAAGGTTACAGAACACAAAGGGGATATGAAAGTTAGGTTACAGAAGCTTTAGTACCTCTTTACAACAGTGGCTTGGGTGACGCAAGTGCCGTGCCTTTTGCTTACAGCAAAGAAAAACATCAAAATAAATGTTATTCAGATAAAATAACTGAGTTTTTCATATTCGAATCTGCCAAACTAAAGGTTATGTGACCGTTTATACACCTTCAAAGGCTGGCCTAAAAGTTATGCTAATATCAGCCTAGGCTAGGTAAGTTTTTAAGAAAAACTTACCTAGCCTCCTCTGCGTTTCCCTAATGAAACCTACTATGTAGGTGAACATGTGAGTTCTTAAAATCAAATGTTGAAATTCAACATTTTTAAGAACTCGCAAGCATTTTTATGCTATGTCAAGTATCACTTGTTGCTGTTAATGCTAAATAAGAGCTTCACACCTAAAAGTAAGTATTACTTAGGAAACAGTTTGAGCCCAGATATGAATTCATATGCATCATACGAAGTTACAAAATAAGTTGTTGCACACAGTTAATTGGCATTTAAATAGATAAACAATTATCACTATCTTGATCAAATCGAGCTAATATTTAAAAATAAAATTATATTCTGATTCCAGAGCCAGAGCGCCGTCATTACAAACTAAATCTTCTAACTTGCACATGTGTTTGCACTTGCTTTGTCCAGCCCTTTACAGAATAGGAATATTTTAAATGAATGTTCCAATTGTTGTAACAGTCATGTTGCTGCCCTTCCCTCTTTGTCGATGAGAGTAATGTCGTTTTATCACCCTTAAAACAAAGGAGGAAAAAAGAGAGAGAGAAAAAAACAAACAGTTAGCAGGTTTAACTGGTTCTTGAGTTTGTTTATTGTAATAAGGAAGGTGTTGAGGGAACCGGTTGGGTGTGGTTTACAAACAAATCTGCTTTGTCACGTCACTATTATGACTGCTATTGCCAGCTACACATGCGTGTGTCATAATTCCAATTTTTTTTGTGTTTTGAGGCCATGATTTTCATCAAAACTAAATTGCGCATTACTTGCCTGTTCTTATTCATCCAGCTCGCAGCTTTGCTGCTCTGCAAGGGATATCAGAAAAAGGTAACCTACATCTTTCAGATTTTCTGTGAGCCAGACGCCACCAGTTCATCGGGCCTCAACCACACTGCCTCAGACAGCAATGGAACCTACTGTCCAGGGACATCCATTTTGACAGGTGAGTTATTTTAATCGACTTTGTAACACAACTGGTGTAAAAAAAACAAAACAACAACAACAACAACTTTACAACCCCCATTAGCTTTCCTCCCGTCACATCATCATACATCTCCTTTTTACTTTTGCATGTTACATTTACAACGTAAGTAGTATTTATTCACCACACAAGGCTTACATTGGACTGCCCTAACTTTTTTCATCTCGAGTGGGTCACAGCGCACGCCAACTTGCTCTAAGCAGAACTTGACTAGCACTAATCAAGGCAGCCGGCTCCGACACACAAGGAACAGATTACAGTGCGCATGTGCGCTACAACATGGTGCGTTCAGGTTCCTAACAACCGTCAGAAAAAGTACAACATTGTACCAGAACATAAACATTTATTCATCAAACGTCACCATAACAAATGCACACAGATAATTATCAACGCTAAACATGTCACTAGTCACTAGATGGCAGCATTGTAGCTTTTTTTTTTATTAATTTATGTTGATGACCAGGGGGATGTATGCAGAATGCTGCTGCCAGCGATTCTTACAGTGGTTCGTATAGATAGATAAATAACGCTGCTGCCAGCGATTCTTACAGTGGTTTGTATAGATAGATAAATAACTATTACCAACTATTAACAAAATACCAGTATTTTAATTATGTTCCATAGGGGGCAGAAAATAATTGAGAAACACTGTTTTAACCCATCACCTTAGTGAGCAGGCGACACTTAACTTCCACCAACTTCCCCGCTATATTAATACTGGTATTGGGTGGTATGGAGCAGCAGCGCCACATAGTGGTGACTGCGGGCACAACAAGGGAAATATGATTGGCCACAAGAGGCACAACCTCTTTCCTCCACTGGTCTACCACATTTAGACACACAACGAGATTTCCTTGAATACCTCTCCATCGTCCTTTTATTTTTCTTGTTGGACCTGTCAGTTTTGGCGTTTTGTTATTAAACGAATCGACCATTTACCCGCTGTTTCATTCCTTGCCTGAGACTACCTACGAGGTGATTTCTTCAGTTTTGGTGCTGTGACTATGGGGAGAAGAATACCCTCTAATTGGTACCGTGCTTACGAACGAAGAAGGGCCAAATCGTTCAACTGGGCCGTGAACCAGATCGAAACATAGCAAGACTCTTTCAACAAGTCACCATGGACTTTATTTCCTTCAATGACTCTGGTCACAGCCACCTTGTGATTCCAGGGGTTATTTTGATGGCATTTGAAGCAGCTGCCCTGCCATGTATGAGGTACTGAGCTCCAAAAGATCTTCCCATTTTTGGAGGTTGCTGGTCTCTTTGGACCAGTGAACTCCTCATCACACTCATTTTTGGACCTCATCACACTCATCAGATGTGTCTGTCTTCTGGATGATACTCCACATTGTCTTCCTCCTCAGAAACCTGCTCATCTGAATCGTTATATTGCTCTGTGTCCTATCCCTCATTTTCACCAAAAATATGATTCAGTACTTGGCTCACTGTAAATCTTCTACTCATTTTTGCATGCTGCAAATTGTAAATGTGCACTCTGCAATGTCAAATGGACACTCACATTAGTGAATTCACCTCACATTTCTGGACATGGCCCTGTTTGTTTGTTTTTGTTCAGATATACTGGAAAACCACGTAAAATGAGACTCCCCTAAAGCTCACATGATTAGGAGAGGAGCTGGCTGTCAGTGTGTCAGCTGACAGTGCACTTATGATTTCAGTTTTGGCTGTAATTATTGCTTTATAATCGTATTGTAACTGGGTCGAAACTGACCTTAACAACACAAAGTTCATAATTTCCACCAGAGCGTTTTAGAATTTAGAATTTAGAATCTAGAACAGCTGAGAGACCATTTCCAAACATGCTTTTTACCCAACTAGATTTTAGAACACAGTTGGGTAGATGATATAACTTATAAGGTAAGGAGATGTCTAGAAGGGGAATTTAGGAATTTATTTATGTATATCCTGTTATTATTACACAAGAAGGAGTTACTAGTAAATACTGCAAAATGGATCAACACAATCTAAGGTACTTGTAAAGAGTAACCACTGAGGGGAACGATAGAAAAATGAATCAAAGGAAAACAAGAAGATGAAGAAAGGTGAAAGATTCAGTTAACAAATAATTGTTTGATAATTGTAGGTCAACTCAGGTCATTTAAAGGTGTAAACAAATTTAAATTCTCCTACATGATGATGAATTATGTTGTGTTTTTTCTTTTCTTTTTCTTTTTATTACCAGTGCTCACCTCTTCCTTTCTGCTCACAGGTGGACCCCTTGTTGTCAACTTTCCATCAGGGCTCATTCTAGCCGATGTTGAGAAGAAAAATCCACTGGTAACTCCAGGAGGATGTTACAGCCCCCCTGACTGTGAGGCAAGACATCGAACAGCCATCATAATTCCTTACAGACACAGGGAAAACCACTTGAAGTACCTGCTCTATCATTTACACCCGTTCCTGCAGAGACAACAGCTCAGTTACCAGATTTATATTATTAATCAGGTACTGCAATCACCTAATATAACATCCATTCAACAACCGTCCAAAAAATGAAAAATACATTTGAAAAATACTCCAGGAAATACAAACAATCCTGCATCATGTTTCCATGTTATCACACTGCCCAGTTTGCATGCAACGTTTGCATGCTGTAATTTTGATGTTCTATCACTGTCCATCCAAAGCTCGTAGTCTAGGCTACAACAACCCAGGAGCGAGTCTAGGCGTGGGCAAACTTATTGACTCGCAGGCCACAATTGTCGTGTGAACTAAGATAAATGACACATAAAAGACATGCATAAAGGCTAAAATGATTTTAATATTTTCTAAACCATCTATTGGGGGTATTGGGTATCAGGGATTGCACGGAAAAGGCAAAAGTATAATGATAAATAAATTATGCCATTTATAAAAGTTTGGCGGACCGGATTAAAGACAAACTTACAGTTAACTAATTTAAAAAGTAACTCTAAAGAGAGTATTGATGAGTTAAGTTGATGACTTCTGGGGTAGTTTATCAAAATTGATAAGTCTGAGTGTAACACAAGTGTTTGATAAATCTCTAAATTGCTTTGCCTCTGCTCTTATTAATAATAGATAGATAGATAGATAGATAGATAGATAGATAGAT